ATCGAGGATGCTGTGAAATAGCAGGGTGTAGGTTCTAACCTATTCTAGTGATAAGAAGAACCTCTTGGAGGGGATATCAAAGTCAAGTCCTGAAGGATAAGGTGAAATTAGCTAGACCAGGAGACTGGGCAAGAGTGATGCAAGCAGAGACTTCCCTGGTGGTCCAGTGGGTAAGGCTCCACTGTCCCAAAGCAGGGGGCCTGGGTTTGATCCCTGGTCAGGGAACTAGATCCCTCATTCATGCTGCGACTAAGAAGTCCACGTGACTAAAGATGCCGCACAGCCTAGGTAAATAAATAAGTAAATCAATATTAAAAAAAAAAAAAGTGATGCAAGCAGAAGGGACATGGCATACAAAGGCCAGGAGGCAAGAGTGCCTGGAAAAATAGTTCATGAAATCAGGAGAACAAAGTGAAACCAAGCAGCACCCTGTGGGGCCCCTCCTGGGTACAAATCCTTTCTGTGCTCCCTGTTTCTGGTTTGTAGGAAATAGGTTTCATTCAGCCTCCTGGACCTTCCCTAAGTTCCAAAGAGCAGATTCAAACAATTACTAATCAGGGAAGTAAGAGAACGTAGAAACAAGGGAGGGTCAGCCAAGAAACAATAGTGTAGCAATGGGGCAGGGTCCCAGTTTCTCCAAAAGGAATATACATAACAGTATCTTTGAGTTATTTTGCAGGCCCCCCACCAGGTGGAGGGTAGTAACTTCAGGCTGGGCACAAGATTTCTGGAACATCACCCTGTTACCTCACCACCAACCAATCAGAAGCAAGTCACACATCCTGCAGCCCTCACCTCAAATTTTGCCTATAAAAACTTCTCCCTAAAAACCATCAGGGAGTTTGGGCTTTTTTTTTTTTTTTTTGATGGTACGCGTGCCTCTCACTCTTGCGGCCTCTCCCGTTGCAGAGCACAGGCTCCGGACGCGCAGGCTCAGCGGCCATGGCTCACGGGCCCAGCCGCTCCGCGGCATGTGAGATCTTCCCGGACCGGGGCACGAACCCGTGTCCCCTGCATCGGCGGGCGGACTCTCAACCACTGCGCCACCAGGCAAGCCCCAGTTTGGGCTTTTTGAGCAGAAGTCTCCTGGTCTCTTTGCTTGGCCCTACAATAAATCGTTCTCTGCTCCAAACTCTGACGTTTCAGTTTGTTTGGCTTCACTGTGTGTTGGGCACATGAACTTCAGTTCAGTAACAAAAGCAAAACAAAAAGTATCTACCTGACACATTTTTGGACAACAACCTATTCTCCAACACCAGTTGGGTGTTCAACAATTCAATTCATTCTGAAACTACCCAGAGCGCAGACCCTACAGCTCAGTCCCACAACACGACCTCCACTTCAGATACCAGTTTTAAGTCTCAGGCCACCCAAACCTCTGACCTACTGGCTATAAATAAGGGGCTCCCTGGACCCCCTCCTTGGGGTTGATAATTTGCTAGATCAGCTCACCAAACTCAGGAAGTCACTTTACTTACACTTACCAGCTGATAATAAAGAAGTACACAGGGAGAGATCAGGAAGGGTCCGGAGCAGAGGAACTTCTCTCTGTGAAATTGGGGTGCACCATCCTCCCAGCATGTGGACGTGCTCACCAACTCCAAACCACTCTCTCTCGCTTGCTGTTCAAGGGTTTTTATAGACCTCAACCTCCAGCGTTTCCTTACCAACTCCCAGCGGGAAATTCTCACGCTTTAATCACCTGGTCCTTCTGGTAACCAGCCCCATCTGGAGGCTATCTAGGGGCCCTGCCCTAAATCACTTCTTTAGCATAAATTTAGGATAGAAAGGGATTCCTTATGAATAACAAAAGACACTCCTATCATTCAGGAAATCCCAAGGATTTCAGGAGCTCTGTGCCAGGGAAAAGCAGAGACCAAATATTTATTTAATTATATAGCAGTCTATAAGGAGCAGAGTTTCAGGCAGCAAATGACAAGAGCTGAGGCCTGAGAGATTAAGAGGACCAGATCAAGAAAGATTTGTGTATAGATGAGGTTAAACAATTTCTAATTTAGGGCAGTGGGGTACCCCTAAGGGTTTAAGTAGGGGAGTGATAGGGTGAGATTTGCATGTTATAAAGATGCCTTTTGGAGAACTGATTATAGGGACAAACCTAGAGTCAGAGAGACTAGTAAGGAAGATATTATGGTAATCCTGGTGGAGACAATGAATGGCTTTGGGAGGCCAACAAGATGGAAAGAAGTGGGTGGGGTCACGAGAAGGCTGAGCTGGCCTGACTTTGATGTTGGATGCCTTGTGATCTCTATCATTCTTCCGGAAATTAATTGTGCTCTCCCTTACAATATTTATTTTTCCATTCATTCGTACTTCTTTAATGTTTTTGTTTGACTTTTCATGCATTTATATCTATGACTCCAACATTCCTTAAAATCTGAGATTATCGCACATACCTAATACAAATGTCATTTTTTCTTTCTTCTTTTTTTTTGATTCTTTGGGCCTCAGTTTCCTTATTGTTAACATGGAGTTGATAACCCAGGCTTTTCCTGCCCCATAAAGTTATTTTGAAGACCTGGTATTCAATGAGATGATGGTGAAATGCTTTAAACAGGATGCAGCTGTAACATGATGCTCAGAAAGGGATTACCTATCTGCATTAGATTAGTACTGCCCAGAGTGTATATTGGTCAGGATGCAGTCAGAAAAAGAGAAGAAAAAAGCTGGTGTGGTCTCTCTCGTGTGGTTGATTCTTAAATTATGACTTAAGTTCAATCAGTAATGGCCACATAATACTGACTTCAGCCAGAGAGAAACCTGGAAAAATGTTTATTGTGATAATTGAGTTGGATGGTCAATGGTTTCATATACCTACTGGGGTAATCCTAACACCTCAACTGTACATGTGATTGGTTTGAACCCCATCTCACAAGGTAGGGAAAACCCAGGCCTTCTCCAAGATTTCTGTGAATTCCCTGGACCTATGTTTTTCAGTGTCACCTGACTCTAAACTTCTTTCTTTGTTGTCTTGTGGACACGCCTTTATCTCTATCCCAGAATTGCCCCCAAAGTTGAACACAGCCCGTACTCTTTGCTGCCCACTAGCCCTGCTCCCACAAAGGCAGCTTTGTAATAGACATTTATTGGAGATTTGGAGAATAGGTTACACTGGAGAGAGGACTGGTTTGCAGAATTGCAGTCCAGAGATCTATCTGTTCTTAAAAATCTTCCCCAATTTTTCACAGAATACAGCATTAGTATCTGACCAGATTGCTTAGTTTTCCTTTTTCATCTCTCCTTTGTTCTTCCTCATCCCCAAATTCTTCTTCTTTTTATTTTGGCCGCACAGTGCGGCATGTGGGATATTAGTTCCCCGACCAGGGATTGAACCCCAGCCCCCTGCAGTGGAAGCGTGGAATCCTAACCATTGGTCCGCCTGGGAATTCCCACCAAATTCTTGTTCAATTCTTAGGCAGAGCTATTGAATATTTAGCTATCTTTGTTGTTTCCTCCCCACCCATGTCCTTAGGGCCTCACCTTCTATCCCCAAGGGGCCTGTCAAGGTATTTTCCGAAACAAAGACACTTCCTTCCCTAAAAAGGAACTCTGGTGCCAGCTGATAAAACAATAGCATCTTGTATCCGCTACAACAATGACAAGGTTGCCAGATTGTGTTTATTTTTCAGAGGATCTGACATTAGTTGGGTCTTTTGGCAAATGGGAAAAGTAACATGTCTGCATCCCTGGTAATTTAGGTTTGCACCCCTTATGTCATCTGATGTGATGCTCACAAGTTTGGGAGAAAGGCTGGGTCGTTCTGATTAGCCCATTTTATGATGGGCAAAAACAGGGTTTAGAAGTGACAAGTGACTGGATGAATGAGCTTCTAGGCTAGACCTTGAACCCAGATCTCAGCTCATTCAATTCTCTTTCCCTTGAGAGTTTTCATGAAAATTGAAAACATCCCTTGTTTGTTAGTCAAGTAAGCTGTTTTGAGAATGAACTTAGTGCCCCTGTGTAGAAGGTCAAAAGAGACATGGGTTATTTGACTGATGGGTTTTACATAAGTGCTGGAGGAAAAGATACTCTGTCAGCAGATGCTTTTCTGTGCTGAGACTGAAATGTTAGCCTCCTCAAGATAACTATCTTGAGGCTGTTAGGAAAGGCTAAGGCTAAGGAGGAATCCAGCCAGATTACCCCCTTCTCCCTGGCATGGATGCTTTTCCCACTTCTCTCCCATCCATACACTATCCTCCTTCAAGGCCCACTTCCCACTCCCAAAATTCTCTGGGAATCCATCCCTGACAGCCACACGTGGATTGAATCTTTCTCTTCTGGGAATCCCGTTAGCAATTACTCTCTGCTTTGCACCATTAGTGCGTTCTCGATCAGTGGCTTCCAAACTTGTTTGATTGCGACCCACGGTGAAAAACACGTATTTTTCCTCGCATCTCAGTACACAGCTCCCCCTCTCCCACACACACAGAGCAATACACGCATTATAGCACTGAACAAGGTTTCACGCACAGTTACTCTTATTTCATATGATACACACTAATATATCTCTTCTATTCTACTTAATTCTTTTCTACCAAAAAATGCTGGTTGGAGCGCATTAAATTGACTTCATGACCCACTAAGAATCATCATTCCTCTGATCTCTCTGCAATGCAGTGTGATACTTTATCATACACTGCAGCCTCCACACACACACACACACCCTCCCCCACTGCTCCTGAGCTTCGAGGTCAGTTCCCTGCATATCTCACCTGGGTACTCCCAGAAGATCCTCACCAGCCTCTTGCCCTAAGTGTCTCTCTTTTGCATTCTCCCCATTGATTTCTCTCAAATGCAAATTTCGTCTGATCAGTCTGATGTATAAAAACCTCCTGGGGCTTTCCATAGTGTGTTCCAGAAAATTGCCTGAGGAAAAGGCCCTTTGCAGACTTTCTGCTCACTAGCTTTCTCCTTATCTTCAGCAAGTCCAGGCCCTTTGGGCTCCCCCCCGCCCGCCCGCCCCCCCCACCCCCGTCACTCACCTGAGTCAGAGTCAGCTGTTTCCTTCCTCTGTGAATTCGCACACGCTGTCCCCCGACTGGAAGGCCTCTCTCTCTTCTCTGGTGGAAAACTACTTTCACTTTAAGAACTCGGATTACTAGAAAGAAGGAAATCCTGCCATTTGTGACGACGTGGATGGACCTTGAGCGCATTGTGCTCGGTGAGATAAGCCAGACGAAGGCAAATATTGTATATCACTTGTACGTGGAATCAAAAGAAGCCAAACTCATAGAAACAGAGAGAAGAATGGTGATTACCAGAGAATGGGGGGACCACGGGTTTGGGGAGATGCTGGTCAAAGGGTACAAACTTGTAACTAGAAGATGGGAAGCTAATGCACTGCCTAGTAATTATAGTCAAAAATACTAGTAATTATAGTCAAAAATATAGTATCGTATACTTTAAAACTGCTAAAAGAGTAGATCTTAAATGTTCTCACCACAAAAAAGAAATGGTAATTATGTGAAGTAATGGAAGTGTTAGCTAACACTATGGTGGTAATCATACTGCAATACACAAATGTATCAAATCAACTCCTTGTGCACCTTAAACTTACACACACAATCTTATATGTCCATTATATCTCAATAAATAAAAACTAAAACTCAGACTACCTATCACCATGAAGTGGTGTTTTGATTGCTCCTACATACAACTTATGAAACTGTGCACCTCAGATTGGGACTCGAATTCATGCAGCTGGGACTTGAAACCGGCCAAAACCCACAGTCTTCCAACTGAGATCACACACCTGGTTTCAGGACTTAATGAAGGTCAGGTTCTTGACGTCTCATCACAGAAAGAATTCAGTGAGAGACAAAGTGGTAGGTAAGAAGTGGATTTATTTAGAGAGAAACACACTCCACAGACAGAGTGTGGGCTATCTCAGAAGGTGAAAAAGGCACCAGGGTATGGGGTTGTCAGTTTTTATAGGAGTGGGTAATTCCATAGGCTAATGAGTGGGAGGAGTATTCCAGCTATTTTAGGAAGGGGCGGGGATTTCCAGGAATTGGGCCACCGCCCACTTTTTGATCCTTATGGTCAGTCTTGGAACTGTCATGGCGCCTGTGGGTGTGTCATTTAGTTTGCTGCTGTGAGCATATACTGAGGCTCAAGGTCTAGTGGAAAAAGTTGACTTGTCCGCCATCTTGGACCCATTTGGTTCTGATCAGTTTATGTCATGTCTTTGGGCTATGTCATTCTTTCAAAGGTTGTGCCCTGCCCTCTTGCCGCCTATTTCATTCCCCCCCGCAGAGATTTTACTCCCATATTCTTATGGGAAGCAGAAGGGTGATGGTCCGTCTTGTGTACCTACTTCAAGGCTGAGTAGGGGCATCGACCCTGCCTGTCAGGGAGTAAACATCTCTGGATGCCAGATCTAGGGGGCCCCTGGGGCAGGACAGCTCCTTGTTTTAAGTCAGTATGGGCTTGGAATCCTCGCATAGCCATCATCTTGGTGTGGAACTGTTGTAACTGCTTCCATAGACTTTCTATGAATCTCCCTGATGATGAAGCACTTTTTGTAATAGCATCAGAGTACAAAAATATCTATAAATGACAAAAGACTTAAAAGGCATGGTTAAACATCTGATTACAATGTAATCGATAAAGAAACTTGGTTACAATAAGCAGAAATATGAATGATTACATTTAATTTAACATACCAAATAACCCTAGTTAAATATTTCTCTTATAAGATACCTAGGGGTCCTCTAAAGTACCCCAAAGTTAGCTGGAAATCAAAACAAGCTTAATTAAAATTTGACATTCGGGAAGTTTGTCAAAAAGTTTTAAAACACTTGGTCAAATAAGATCATAGGTCACTGTGAGACAATACTTAACTAAAGTTACAAAAGATCTCAAAAACAAATACAGATCACTTAAAGGCAAAAAACTCATACTGTTATTAAAAGCAGCATTTCAAGAAAACTTTGGAGGGAGAAACCAAATCCAGTCTTGTCCCAGCCCACTCCCAACAAAATCCATTTACCCAACTAAGTTTAATCCAATCTTAGAAAATCCTGATCATGTATAACTCTTTTCAGTAGTTTTCATTCTTCACACCTTCTTTTACTAAAAATACATATCTTACTCTTCTTAGAAGTTTTTTTCGGGCTTCCCTGGTGGCCCCGTGTTTGAGAATCCGCCTGCCAATGCAGGGGAAACGGGTTCGAGCCGCGGAGCCGCTCCCACAGGCCGCGGAGCAGCTAAGCCCGTGCGCCACAACTACTGAAGCCCACGCATCTAGAGCCCGTGCTCAGCAACAAGAGAAGCCACCGTAATGAGAAGCCCGTGCACCGCAATGAAGAGTAGCCTCCGCTCACCACAACTAGAGAAAGCCCACACAGCAACGAAAACCCAATGCACCCCAAAATAAATAAATAAATTTTTTAAAAAGTTTTTTTCACATTGAGTTACCTTTCTTGTTGACAAATCTGTAACATAGAATAAGGTCTTATTTGACCTCTAATAAACTTAGATTCATTAGAAGTATTACGCTTAACATCGATGACTCTTACATGTCTATGTTAATAAAACCAACAAGCTTAAGCCACCTTCAATACCAGACAGCAGTTTAGTACTGAATATTTTCCAGATGACATGAACCTGAAATTCATTCTGGCCAGATTATTTTCTATTTCTGAGTATTTATATAAGCACTTAATTTTTTTTAAGCCAATTAAGTAGAGTTCTTCTACGAATCAATTTTTGGCAACATCACACGCCTACAACACACGTATAGATACATATGAACACACAAACACAGAGGCCTCACAGTTCCAATTTCAAAATTTCAGCCCTGAGTCAGGTACAGTATAAAAGCCATCAGTTACAAGGGGTTGGATTCAAATTGGGCTTCTAGCAGATGAAACAAATCAAGGTCACCTACCTAGATGGCTAAACCCTTTTTACTAGCGTTTACAGAAAAGACACTTAAGATTTCTATTTATCCTTGACAAGTAAAGTTCTAAATTACTTTTTCTTTCTTTTTTTTTTTCTTTGCGGTACGCGGGCCTCTCACTGTTGTGGCCTCTCCCGTTGCGGAGCACAGGCTCCGGACGCGCAGGTTCAGCAGCCATGGCTCACGGGCCCAGCTGCTCCGCGGCATGTGGGATCTTCCCAGACCGGGGCACGAACCCGTGTCCCCTGCATCGGCAGGCAGACTCTCAACCACTGCGCCACCAGAGAAACCCTCTAAATTACTTTTTAAACATTCGTTTATTTAAAAAGATAGCAGAGATAAGGGTTCCTGAGAAGACCAGATAGGACATTTGTATCTCAAAGGTACAGGCAAGTTCCTCCTAGGATGACTTTGTTTCCCTTACAAGCCTCTTAAGATAAATAGGGAAGGTTTGGGGAGTGGTAAAAGGATTGGTGGGCTTTGTATTATTTTTGGAGTCACACCTCTGATCCCCTAAAGACAACATTTGTGAAACAAAGACAGTTTTGTTTTCTTTTTCAAAGAATTGGGTGGTTACCTCAATGATATTGAAGGACTGACAGACCCATTCACCTATGTTGGAAAGTTTTACTTTTCCTCATTTAGCTTAGGGGAGAAGGCCTCTTCCAAAATTCCTATTAGGCTCTGAATATCAGCTATGGTCAGTTTAGGCAGACCAGCGGCCTGCTGTTTTGGTAATCTACTTACAAACATTTTTGAGGATATTCCCTAGGTTTAAGAAATTTGTACCTTATATTTAGATACTATATAACGCTTTTTACTTAATAATCACTGGCTGGATATATTTGGCCAAGCCCGGAACCTCGATATTCCATATTCCAGGGTTTACTAAGGCTTTTATTTTAGCTTCAGATTTTATCTGTTCCGTTTTGCTTTTTGTTAGAACCATTTGATGATGAGGGTGGTTCCCTTGCCCCTCGAGAAACAGAGTGGCCCCTAACTTAGTTAATAAATCTCTTCCCATTAAAGGGATGGGACAGTCAGGCACAAACAGAAAGGAATGTAAAAACAGCTGGCCGTCGATCTTGCACAAAAGGAGTTCCAGGAAAGTGTGCCCCTGTCTCTTCCCTGACGACCCCATTACATATTCCTTATGACTGCTAAGGTTTCCAATCCTTTGGGTTAAGACTGAGAAGGTTGCACCAGTGTCTATACGAAATTCTATGAAATGGCCCGCGACATCAATGACCACCCAAGAATTAGTTATGTAGATGTATGTCTAGGCAGAGCCACTTTCGGCCTTGGGTTCCTTTAGTTTTCTGATTTCAAAACCATCAATGGCTGAGGGGTCCCTGTCGCTCTATGGCAGCTGGGGCATTCCCTCTTCCAATGCCCTGGCTGTTTGTAAAGGGCACATCGATCACAATCCTCACTCCAGTGCCCCTTTTGTCCACACCGCATACACTGGCCTTGTATGGGTACCCATGGGCCTTGTGGTCTGCCAGGGCCAGATTGGCCCAGAAAAGCCAGCTTCCCCTTTAGTGGTCTCTGAGTGGACAAAGCCACTGCAATCATTTGGGCCTTTTGCATATTTCTCTTGGGTGCATTCAGCCTTTTTGGCCATATCTCTATTACTGAAAACCAAATAAGCCAATTGGAACAAATCATTCATTGGAGTCTGAGGACCAGCAATTGCTTTCTGAATTTTGTGCCTGATGTCTGGGGCAGACTAGGCTATGAAATGCATAGGCAAAAGGGTCTGTACCTCGGGGGAGTAGGGATCCATGTTCGTTCGGGATCCATGGACCTGTAGGGTGAGTCAGTTAAAATGTCCTCTGTGTCCTTCCTAGAGTTATCCCTCCCGAGCTACATACACCTTAAATTCCTTTTGGGTTTCATTGCCTAGATACAAGGCCATGAAAATTTGAACATAAGGTACTTCACTCCATTTCAAATGTCCTAACTCATATTGTGGCCAAACCTGATTACCTAACCTACTACGTTTTTTCCTTTTAATTCCTGTTGTCCATATCTTTCCTAATCCTGGAGTATATGGCCCAGAGGGGTGTTGGTTGGGATTGATGCAGCCTGACCCATTTCAGACAAGCCTGAGGTGACGTCTTTAACTCCTGAGCTATCCAAAACTCCACTCTTAAGTCAAAATCCACCGTGCAATTTAGTC